TTCCTCACAACAAAACTTATCTACTTCTTTCTAATACTCTTTTATACAATCTTATACTCTCTTATACTATCTTATAATCTCTTATATTTTCTAATACTTCCATCAAATGGCTTCTGGATCTGATTATGAAGAGCAAAACTTATCTGCTACCGATCCATAGATGAGTCCTCTTACAACAACTCCTCCTACCGGTGTTAATCTTGAATCTGGTGGTGATGAATCTACTGCATCAAGAGCTCCTAAAAGACCGAGATCCGATGTGTGGAATTTTTTTGAGAAGATAGACGTCACCAAGGATGAACACGGTAGGATCATCTCCCAGAAGGCAAAATATGCGTTGTGTGCCTAGATTTTCCAAGTTCATCATAAGAGCGGCACCAACCATCTCAAACGCCATATAGAAAAACACAACAAAGGCCAGAATCTTCAAGGTGATATCCGACAGTCTATGATTTTCCAATCCTCCTCTTCTGGTACCCTCGGTAGTTGGAATTATGACGCTGCCTGAGCTAGGAAATGCGTAATCAGGTTTATTGTTCTTAAAAACATGCCTTTTAAATTAGTAGAAGATGATGAATTTGAAGATTTGTTTAGAGATGGTTTTTATCCCGTATTTATAAAATTTTCTCATCAAACCTGTCAACGTGATATTTTAAATTATTATCAGGAGGAACAAGGAAAAACAATTTCTTATTTTAAAAATTTAAACTGTAAATTTTCTTTAACTTCTGATATTTAGACATCTAGAGTGCAAACTGGTTATTGTTAGCCCTTATGTTTTGATGATGTTTTACAACCATCATTATCGGTACTAATTGCTTGTTGAGTGATATTAGAGTTAATATATATATCAAGCTTGTTAGTACCACTTATGGAGGATTGGATGGAATATGAACTACAACGATGATATCCAAAGGAGGAGGAGGCATAGTGATAAAACAAATGTTAATCAAGAACAATACAATCTATATCAAGACTCAAAGAATTGTAATTCTATGTGAGGATATTAGCTAGTTTTTCTTTTCTCTCTAGTGCTAGAATGTAGGCAAAGCTTTATCAACTCAAGCTATATCAAGACTCAAAGAATTATAATTCTATGTGAGGATATTAGCTAGTTTTTCTTTTCTCTCTAGTGCTAGAATGTAGGCAAGTAGTTATAGATTTTATTTGAAGCTATTGGGATATCACACACACGTTTTCATACTTATATTTTTTGAGCGTTTTGACAAAATATCATTTTTCACAAGTATGAGGACCTATTCGTAAAATTCCCTTTCTAAACAATTTGTTTTTAGTGTTAAAAACAATTTACAAAGTTACACAATTTTTTGAAGTCATTTAAATATTTTTACATATTTTTAAAGAGTCAAAAACAGTTTTTAAAACAGTGTCAGCATGTATCAGTTCGCGGTCGACCGCCACGGTCGACCGCGCCTGTGATGCAGTCGAGAGTGTAGTTTTTGAGTTTTTTTTGCGGTCGACCGCGACGGTCGATCGCCAAAGTTTCTGGAAATTTTGTGAGTTTTGAAAGTGGCTCGCGGTCGACCGCGAGATTTTCACGGTCGACCGCCGCTTATTCCAACGGAACTTTTCAGTACAGATTTGCGTAATCGTTTCTTACGGGTTTAAGGGGATCTGGGTATGGGTTTTAGCAGCTGATATTTTTCCTATTTAAACTCTCATACCCCTCTTCTTTCAAGTGCTCTTGTCCATTTGAAATATCCTACAAACTTGTTTTACTGTTTTCAAAAGAGCCCTAAACTTTCAAACCTGTTTTCTCTCTGTTTTCAAGTTCACATCCCAGCTTCAGTGTAATCTTTCTCTTTACCATAGGGACATTGTAAAGCAACAATTTTTTACACCATTACTACTGTTGTGAGCTTGATCTTGTGGAGATTAACTATGTGGGAGTTAGATCTTGTGGAGATTAACTATGTGGGAGTTAGATCTTGTGGTGATCAACTGTGTAGCTGTGAGATCTTGTGTAGATCGTTGTGTAGAAGAAGTTCCGGCTTCCAAACCGGGTTGTGTAGTGGATTCTCCTCGAGAGTGGGGAGCGGGGACGTAGGTCAGCGGGCCGAACCTCGTTAACACATCGCGCGTCACTTGGATAACGATTTCTAACTCTATCTCATTTATCTTAGTTGTTCATTGTTGTGGTGTGTTGCTTATCTTATTTTTATTGCACAATTATAGCCTTACGACCCTAATCACCCCTCTCTAGGATCCAACGATTGGTATCAGAGCTTGGTCTTTATATTAGTTTTTGGTCTAACCACATTAGAGAAAATATCTTATGGAGGCTTCAATGAATGCGCATATGTTAGAGGGATAATCTACCACTAGACCATCACTTTTCACCGGTAGTAATTTTGCTTATTGGAAGGCTAGGATGAGGATTTACCTTCGTTGTATTGATCTTGACATTCTAGAACTCATAGAGAAGAAATATGTAGAAAAGTCCAACAATTATTTATGTATCACAGCACACTGGATTGATAAAAAATGGCAAATGTTTAAAAGAGTTGTTTCTTTTATTGCAATTGACACTGATATTAATATTGCAAATTTAATAATTGAAGAACTTATGAAACTAGAAGTTAATCAAAGAATATTTTCTCTTTCACTAGATAATGCAAGTAATAACAATGTAGCTGTTGATTTTATTAAAACAACTCTGTCATTGTCATGTCATGGTGACATTTTTCATGTTAGATGTATCTGTTATATTTTAAATTTAATTGTTCAAAGTGTATTTTCTGAAATTAAACACATGATAGAAAATGTTAGAACAGTTGCTAATATGCATAATGCTTCTGAAATAAGAATTAAAAGGTGGAAACAATATTATAAAAGAAAAAATTATAAGCCTAGACTACTTCCGAAAGATGTTGACCATAGGTTGAATTCCACATATGCAATGTTAAGTGTAGCAATAGAATATAAAGAAATTATAAATGATTTTATAAATTTTTATGCTTTTAGTTCTAGCTCTGGTAGCACTTATGGAATAAGTGAAGATGAATGGACAATTATATGTAAATTAAATGAGATGTTACAAGTTTTTTATGATGTTACTATGTTATTATCTTGTTGTTATTATCCAATTATTACTTTAGCTGCTTTACAAATTTTAAATATTCAATTTTTTTTTTGCTAAATATCGTATGGATGATATTTTTAAAAATATAAATTTTCAAATGGAAAGCAAAATTAATAAGTATTTTAGGCCTATTCCTCATATTTTTGGTTTGAGGGTTCTTATTTATCAATGTTTGAAGGATATTGGTCTTCGAAGTTTGTTACAATCATTGTATGGTAGACAGATTATAGACTTAGATGATGGTTCCACCCTTATTGCTACTTCTCATCATTTATCTATTAGAAATTATTTTCAAACATTATATGATGAGTATGCAGCTAGACATGGTGTAGCTGCACAACAATCTACAGCTTCAGTGCCTTCGGCTTCGAGCACAGGTCGATGTAAAAGTATAAGTTTTGATAGGTATATAATGGTAGCTGAACTAACTGGTGGATCTGGAATTGGTTCAGGATTAGAAGTTTCTGAATTAGATGAATATTTTTCTGCTTCCTTAGTTAAATGTCAAGGAAATGCTTTAGATATTTTACAATGGTGGTGAGTATATGGATCAGTTTCATATCCTATACTTTCCACCATGGTTCGTGACTTACTATCAGTGCAGGTTTCGACGGTAGCTTCGGAATCCGCCTTCAACACAGCAGGACGTTTGATCGACGACCACAGAACATGCTTAGATCCGTATACTGTACAAGCGATGATGTGCTTACAAGATTGGTGGAGGTACGAGAAGCGAACATAAGACATCGACCGGATTGCTATAATTGAAGATAAATTTGAAGAGTTAGAACTAGCAGATGAATATAAAGATTAGATAATATTCATCAAATTGTAATTTTTATTTCTTAGCTTTAAACTTATAATGAATTATTTTGGAAAAAGTTGCAAATGATAGTGATATGGGTGAGTAGATGCTAACCTAGTTGGGATTTACTCATTTATTGTGATGCGACGAATTTCGAAATAAATTTATACTTATAAAGGATTTACTGATTATTAATAAAGAAATTATTTTTATCATCTTTTATTTTTATAATTTTTTGTACTTGTAATTTATGTCATTTCAAGTTATTAAAAAAAATTATGACATTTTTTGTAATTTTATGTATATTTTATGATTTATTATTATTTTTAAATTAAAAAAATTTAAAAATAAAAAAAACTGGGCCGGCCCGGAGCCCGGCCCGCTCAGGCCCGAGTCACCCTGCTCGGGTCGGGGCTTCGGTTTTGCCCGGCCCGGCCCGGGAAATCGTCCCAGATGGACACCCCTAGTAAGGACCAGACCCGAATCCATCAGGTGCAGCGATTATTCTTTTTTTTCGGTGGAAATATGTAAAGATCCTCTCGATTTTATCATGTATTTAATTATTAGTCACCCTTTAAAATTTTCCAATAATCTAGAACTTAGTTAGCGGGGGGGGGGCGGTTGCTATCTAATTCATAACTGCTGCCATTTTTTATAACTAACAAACTATCTATTATTTCATGACTACCCTCAAGTTTTCGAGGTTAGAGATCCTTCCCTAATTTGTCCTCTCCCTTGATCTTGACTTCTCTTTTGTAACTATTGTTTATACATGTATTCATGTTGAATATCAAGGTGTTAATAATTTTTAATAATTTATACATGTATTCATGTTGATTATTAAGGTGCTAATAATTTTTTCATCCACAAGTACTTCATCATATCATGCAGGTATCGCATGCACCAGGACACTATCATGTACTACTAAAACAGTTACTACATGATAAGGGAGTGACCATGATTAATTATAAACCATTTTTTCTTTAATAAGAAACGAATTCATGACTGAATGACGTAAAAAAACATATGAGGCTGTCACCTGTGGGGAATTATAATTTTAAATGCAATTATTTTTTGTAATTGTAGTTTTAAAAAGCTACTTCACCGAGAATAACCTCTTGTTGATTTTGTTGCAAGTGTTTTGAGAAAAATTGGCGCTTGCAACCTTTGTAAATGTGGTCGTATAAAAAGCTACAAGAAAAGCAAATCAAATAGATGTAACTAAAAATGTAATGATTTTAATTTTGTAATTCAGATTTAATTTTGGATTGATAACACCGCTATGTTGGCTACTATTAATAATGGACTATAGCTCAACTCTTTTTATAATTTGCAGTAGTTGCATTTTTACTTTTCACTGACCAAAAAGTCTTTGTAAATAAATATCAAAATATATAAGACTAACAGAGTTTTAATAATATAAAAAGAACCGTTGTATTTAGTAAACTATAAATACAATTCAGGTCTAGCGAATTATGAGTACAGATTAACGGTACTTTTGCTCATGGTAGTTTTGTGCTAATTTATTATATTTCAAATTTTAAGTTTGTGATGTTTTCTCTCACAGATTAAGGTATTCTTTTAAGTGAAATTCTTGAAAATTCGTAGTAGTTCTGTAACATGTACCCCCTACTTGATACTTTAGGGGCTATCTTCAATCACAAAGCGTGCACTAAAGGGGTTTATATCATTAAATTAAAATACTAGGCGGCATTTTAGAAAGTGGCTTAAATTTTACAAAAAAATAAAACTTGCAAAATTCTTTAGTTTAAAGGCGTTGTCTGCAATTTCTCCTCTCTTTCTCCAAGTATCTATTGATCGATGGCCCTCAGAAGCAGCCATCATCAAAGAAGTACACTCTTGACCCGGCCCGGCCCGGCCCGGCCCAAATCCGGGACCAGTTTCCAGTAAAAGCCCACAAATCCCCGTAATATCATAGCTAACAGCCAAATCTTTACTCCCCCGCTACTCCCACATCGCCCATCGCATGAAATCTCTACAAAGCACACAACCTGTTCGGCAAAATTCCACACTGAATGAATCTGCATTTTCTCTCCAACCTCCACTGCTTTTATCCGTTCCAACCCATCAAAGCCAATTCTATCGTCGATACTCAATCCCCATTCACAGTCTCGGCCGCCTCCTCTCGCCAGAAACTCCCCAAAAACCTCCGTAGTCCTCGTCGAGCTAAGCTCCCACCTGAACCCATTCTCTACAGTCCACCCCCGAGAAAACAAGAAGAAGAACAAAACCGATTGAAACAACCCTCTAAAGATAAAGATACCGTCGAATGGAGCCCTGATGAGCTTGAGGCAATCTCATCGCTCTTCGAGCGAAGAATGCCTCAGAAAAGACCCATTAACAACCGACAAGTGAAACCTCGGCCTCTGCCTCTCCCTTTACCTTACAAGACTCGGCCGCCATTGGTTCCTACTCCGAAACACCACATTCGGGTTGCTGCTAGGTTGACTCTTGCTACACGAGCATCAGTCAGCGATCAAGTGAGAAAGAACCCTGAAGCCCTAATCGGCATTGCTAGAGACATTGGTGCACTTAGTGCGGAGTCTGATGTATCTGAGGTTCTTGATGGGTGGTTGAGATTTCTACGAAAGGGGTCTTTGTCGATGACTATTCGAGAATTGGGCCACATGGGCCTCCCTGATCGAGCCCTTCAGACTTTTCTATGGGTCCAAAAGCACGGCCCGTTATTGTTTCCGGATGATAGAACACTTGCTTCTACTGTCGAAGTATTGGCAAGATATGGGAAATTGAAGACTGAATTTGAATCGGAGAAGTTTTTGAACTCTGCTAGTAGAAATGTGATTGAATCAATGGTGAGAGGGTTTATAAGAGCGAGGAATTTGAGCTGGGCACGGAAGCTTCTGTTGATTGCTAAACAAAATAACAGGACATTGGATTCGAGTGTTTATGTGAAATTGATCCTTGAAGCTGCAAAAAATCCAGATGGGTATAAGCTTTCTTCGATATTGCTTGACGAGCTTGCAGAAAGAGAAGAGTTAGATTTGAGGCCACAAGATTGTACTGCTGTAATGAAAGTGTGTATTAAACTCAAAAAGTTTGAAGCGGTTGAGAGTCTCTTCATTTGGTACAAAAATTCAGGAAAAGAACTGACATTGGTGATGTACACAACTGTAATTTATAGCAGATACTGTGAAGAGAAGTATAGAGAAGGATTGGCTTTGGTTTGGGAGATGGAAGGACTGAACTTGCTATTGGATCTTCCAGCTTATCGGGTTGTGATAAGGTTGTGTGTTGCTCTGAATGATCTTGAGAGGGCTGCTAGGTATTTCTCGAGGTTGAAGGAGGCTGGTTTTGTGCCTAGTTATGATATATATCGAGACATGATTCATGCTTATGGAGTTTCGAGGAGGTTGGCAAAGTGTAGAGAGATTAGCAAGGAAGTGGAGATGGCAGGGCTGAGGTTGGATAAAGAAACAGTTGCTCTTCTTTTAGAGATAGAAGCAGCAGAAGTTTAAGTTTAGGTGAGTAGAACTATTTTGCACTCTTTCTTTTTGTGGTTACGTTTCTGATGATGCTCAGATACTTCTTAGCTTCTGTAACTTCTGTTTACATGTGAATTTCCTATTTCCCGTAAAATGTTCATGACTAATATGAGCTTCATATGTAACTTGCTTATTCATAATTTTGGACATCTTTATTGGTTTTCTACATGTTTTTTGGGCATAGGATAGTTCATATTCTACATGTTTTTTGGGCATAGGATAGTTCATATTTATACTTATTAATATAGTTCTATAACTATTTCTTTTCTTAGCAGACCAGCTTTAAGGAAATCCTAAAATGCCCTCAGAAACTATTTTACTATAGAGGTAGTCCCTTAGTGGTGAAAAGTTTATTTCTTGAAGGGAATTTTAAGAATTATGTAAAGCTGGTGTGCCACAAGAATAACTGTTGAATTATGCGAGTGTGAATATGAACTACTCCAGAAAGATAGATATCCTTCGCTGCTATCTTTACTACTAGCTTTATGCTGAACAAGAATTAAACTTAATGATGGCATTTTTTATTGTTATAGTGAAACATAGGATGGCGTAGAGGCTGAAAGCATTAGAAGCAATATTTACTTGACCTGATGTCATATCCTGATAGATTTGAAAAACATTGTACTCATATCAAACTTAAAAAGCCAAAAGATTTTTAAATTCAAAAGAAATCTGAAAAATACATTAATGATTATAAACTAATCCATAAAATAACCAGCAAATTGATAATATTAGTGATACCAGATTCCTTTGACTGTTAGTTGATAATGACAGAAGAAATTCTACACACATACACACATAGCTATCAATAGGACAATGGTTTCTGTGTAAGCATGAGAATCTGAAAAGCTGGGTTTGAGGATTCAGTAAGTTGGAAGTAGGAGTTGCCTGATCTGCATACTGATATTTTCAGTATGTAGCTGAACCTGAACTTTGTATATATGACTCAAACTCGAACAATTATGTAGGAAATAGAATGTCTTGCTTCATGATCAAGTTGAAGATCACATGGTACCTTAAAAAGTTGATATTTCGGTCCGTGTTAATGAGACTTTCAGATGTGCGACATCATTTTCTTTTTGTAGTTAAACATCACTTTCTTTTTAGCAAACTGCTACACATAGGATGTACGTTTCACCATTTCACTATCGGGAATTATTTACCGACTATGAATCCAGATGCAGATTATTTTCGAAAAGAAATATGGTGTCTATATTCACTAAGATGAATACAAACATAAACTAAACATGGATATGGACCATATCCAGTATCAGTAGATATTGCATCAACTGGTCAACGTCATCAATGCAGATAGTTACTAAAAGTAAGTAAAAAAAGTCAGCGATTTGAGATCCTTATTCATATTAATAAGTCAATTTTTGTTATTCGCATCCATATCCGTATTCATGAACATAGGATTTTTTGGTCCATATCCCCATCCAAGAGGATATGGATGTATATCTTTTTGGTATAATCTTATCTGTTTTCATCCCTAGCTAAAGATCTTTGAAAGTTTTAGTGACGGTAAATATGTACATAATTTTTATGTGACCAAAGTTTATTTAGATATATAAGTTGTCTTCTTTATTTGTTTTTAGTAGTTTTGAGTTTATTGTTTATAGTTTTATCAATGTAGTTATTTTGGCACCCAACAAATCTTATAAAATCGAGGTAAACAAACCATCCCTGTTTGAGACGGCTGAATGCGAACGTGATCTAACATATGATATCTTGCTTCTGTATATTGAATGTATTAATCGATGTGTTGTAGTTGTAAGTACAATAGCTTTATGGTTAAATCATGAATTGTAGTAGATTTAACGTAGTAAGATATCCAGAAGTAGTGATGCTTTAACCACTACAGAATGCTGATGAGTAAATAATGACACACTTATATTTTTAGACCAGCTAACTCATCAAACTTTAATTATCCAAAAGGGGAAAAATAGTCACTTAACCAGTCAAAATCAACCCGTCACAAGCAACATAGGAATAAGAAAGAATGTACTAATAAGGATTCATTTTTATGTGTATTGCATTAATGCGACACGTAGGAATCACCCAGTTTTCAAGTTGTTGAATACAATCTATTTATTTTCACATTGATGAAAGCCAATTTCAAATAAACAAAGATGAAAACAATTACAATTGACAGTTTCAGTTTAAAGGCTTTGAACAGGGAACATTACGACAGCGATGGTTGTCTTGGGACCCATTTCTCTTAAAAGATGTCCTCCTTCCAATCTACTCCAAATTCTCTATGTGATAATTAATTGTGTGTTCTTTCCACACCCCTCCCTCCAAATATCTCTCGTACAAACTTGCATCACAGTTTTCCTTTACAGATAGAACAGCTGTGCTTCTAGTCCCATATTTTCCCTGCATGAAAACAAATAGTTTAACATTTAAATTGAATGATTATATCCTTTTCGCTTATAATTGCAGATAGACCCCCTGTACTATCACTGAATTGCAGATATACCCCTATGGTTCTATTATTGTAGATAGATCCCTGAGTGAATTTTGTTTGGCTCTTTTATCCTCAGAGAAAAGGAATATTGCTTTTGACGAATAGACCTCCTGAGGGTAAAAGAATCCTAAAAATTTCACTCAGTGGTCTATCTGCAACATTGGAGCTATTGGGGATCTATCGACAATTAACGCTATCATTTTTCTTCTTTTACTTGTGCTTTATGCTTTACCAATTTGGTGTCCACTTCAACGAAGATAGAGCTCAGCTGGCGTTCCCATTCGGAATCACAACCAGTGTTAGGAAGCCTGTCTAAGTCGGCTTCCATGGTATCTGTCATAAGTTTCTCAGCCATATCTCTTGCAGAGATTTCTTCCTCTCCGTGCTTATGTAGTAGTTTCTTGAAACTCTTACCCAGCCGTTCTGCCTGCAATGAGAACAAATTTTGCTATTTAAACAGGGAAGGTATCTACGTGTAATATTTCAGCTTCAATGAAATCTGCCATCACCTTTCTTTGGATAACAATGTAACTAGGCTTTTATTTGGGTAAAAATTTCTCCAAAATCCGTGAATCATTTATGGTTTTGAGCTTGTCACGCTTAAGTACTTGCTCTGCACGTCTTGACTTTGGACGACAATTTTACCCCATCTATTAAATACATCTATATTGTGCTTTTTGGAAGGGTAGCCTTGTGCTGTACCCGTTAATGCCATTTATGAGGATTTCCAATAGTTCAGAGGGCTTTTCCGTGGTTTATAAAGTTTCAGGGGTTTCGTGGCAGAACTCCCTAGGTTCAAGGGTTTTGTGGAATTTACCCCTTTTATTTGCGCATTGTGAATTTTGAGTTTTGATATGAGGACGTCCTTTAATGTTTCACAAGCAAATGTGCAGCAACTTATATATCAGGATGCTCATATCCTAAAAATCTTTAAAAGAGTTGTTGGAAGTCTCAGCCGTAATTCATGTTCTTTATCTTAGATGAATTGAATTCGATTATATTTCTATTCTGCATAGTTGAGCGATCATTTTACCTTGTGCCAAGGAGCATCCAGGTTTGCATTTGTGAGAACATGAAGGCCTGGGGAAACTGCTTGAATAGTGACAGGTTTCCCCTTTGGTCTGTTGGAGACACAAAACATGCTTCTTGTACAGAGATCAGCCATTACCAGGTTAAATCCATTATAATCATCGGCTTCTTTACTTATTTCTTCAGCATACTCTAGAGGGCTCATTCTACCCTGTGAACAAAAATCCAAAAAGCACCATATAATTAAATATTTTTATTATTATGAGCACCAATTTACATGCATAATTCCATGTTAAAGATTATTGAGAGTACCTGCAAGAATCTGAGGGGCAAATCTCCCCTGGTTTTTGCAGAGGGGATAGAGTCAGGCTCCAAGACATTAGTTAGAAAAGAAAGCCTCCCACTCTTTGTGCATCCCATCCAAGTGCCCCCTCCTAATATATCTCTTCCTCCTAGTATCTTCTCACATCCTTCCCCCCACCATTCTACTGCCTTTGTAGGCCTGTCATGGAACAAAATAAAACAAAATTCTCAGGAAATAAAAATGCAAATTCTAACTCGAACTTCAGTGGAAGATCAGGTGCTTGGTTGATCCCGTGAGTTATCAATGCGTAGTATGTGTGTGATATTCACGGCGTAACAAATTCTGATATCGTGATATTTTTGGTAGGGTTAACGGCGGCTGGTGTGTCCCTACACAGTGCTGACTGGTGAGACGCGACACATTCAAATATATTCCGATGATCGCTGATGGCTGAATGTGTACCGCACCAGCGAACTCATTGGCAAAACACTACAGAGGGACGCACGGTAGCGGAATACAGACGGATCATCAAAGACGGAAGCCTTCCGTCTTTGGTGTGTACATTGCAGACGGATCCTATACTAACCCTGTTACTCTATCGTAACGACAACCGTAGGTATCCTCAGGTATCACGACACGACACGCTGTAATATATTCATGATTACCGAAACGGATATATATATATATATATATTTAATTTGGAACTAACTATGAAGTCATCAAGAAAACAAAAACCCTGTAAAGAAAAAAGAAGAAGAAAGAAAACAGGAAAAGGAGCCACCTGCCGTGGAATTCATCTCTGTTGAGTACGAGGAGAAGTGGGTACACTGGGTGAGCTTGCCAAATCCATGCAGCTATACACATGATGCTTAATTATTCCCTTCTCTTGTCCTTCGATCTCTCTCTGAACTTGTTCGTCTCTCCTCAGCGCTCTCCTTCGCTTTTTTATTAGCAGATAACGTCGCAGCAATTTAATGCTGAGAATGACGGCAGTAACCGCCCCCATCTATCACCAGGACCCCCCCTTTAAACTTGAGGGATGAAAAGGCAGTGGGCAGCCTCCAAAGCGGTTGGCTGATTACCATTGGCAAGTACTGGCATATGCGTGCTTTTAATTGAGATATAATTTATTCGAGTACCTAATTCAGGGTTTAAGTCGTTGGGATAAGAATGTGGGGCAGTTTTGCTTCGCTACACTGGGTGGGGTGGGGTGGGGGTGAAAGTAACCGATACAGATGATGAGGAGCATGTTGTTTTGTTGCTGGTTTAAGTTAGGGTGTTGTATGGGTTTGAGTTAGGGTGTTATATGGTTATTGGTGACAACTCATGCTCTCAGATGGTTTTTACAGCGTAGAGGACGCTATTCTGACCATCTCATGGTGCTTTAGTTTTTAGAGGAATTCTAGAGATTCTAAGGGTTTTGAAGTCAATGCTCAGTTTTGAGATCAACTCTCTTCTTCTTCTTCTCTAATTCTCTTAGTTTGCCGACCAAGTGGTCATTATTGTTTACTTTCTTAATCTCTTGTGCTTTTCCTATGCCAACTTGTAATGGGGGGTAATATTTATTTGTGTTAATTGCACATACGCCCCTTATACTATAGGAGATTAGTCGCTTATTGTAGAATCATCACTTTGACCTTCTGATCAAAAAAATAAAGTAACCCTTGGTAAACCTATACCCATCACATGACATCTATGTTCTGAAGAAAGATACTCTGATTCTTTAATAAGTTCCTTCTGAAGTGTTAAAGTATGAAGTCTTCTTCTTCTTCTCTAATCTCTTGTTTGCCCACTAATTTTTCTTCTTCTTTCCTTTACTTCTTTCCAACCAACTTGCAATGATGTTGGAGAAATATTCCCTATACTACAGGGTGTTAGGCAATTTTGCCGCCGAATCTGATATTAGCATATGTTGGTATTTTTGTTTTGATGATGTTTTAGCAAACAATTTATAACTAATATTGTTTGTCTAGTGTTTGTGTTTTTGTATTTATTCTAGGCAAACAATGAGTTGGAAGATGGATGGAATCGAACATTCATGATCATATCCAATGGAGGTTGGTGGAATAGTGGAGTGAAGTGTAGGCGTCTAAAAATGCCTGTAGGTTCCTGAATACGGCTCGAGACGAAGAGGAGGCGATAAATGTCATCATCCAAGTCGAGAAGGTTTATCCAAGCGGCCCGCGTACTCACCAGCCACCATCAAGCGATCCGCGCGTTCACGAAATGCGCGAAGCGAATCGAGGAAGCATACCGGTCGGCGAAACAATGAAATACACATAAACGATGGAACGAGTTAAACCCGAGAAAATCGAGAAAGCCTCTGGCTGCCGGATCGCGTCAAAACGATCCTGTCGGGCCAGTGGCTTGGCCTTGGGTCGGACAGTTCGGCCAGAATCAGTTTTCGGTTTTTTTATGGATTCTTTCGGGATTTGTGTGTTCTTGGACGTTCCAACTGATCTGATACTATGGTTATACAGTTGTTAACTGAAGATAAAGAGAAATCCATCATTCTCATCCACATAACCGCATCCGAGGCCTATAAATATGAGCCAAAGGCCTCCATTTTATGGATCTGGAAATCAAGAGGACGAGTTGCTGTCGAATTGGAGAGTGGAGCACGAATTTCAGAGAGTTAGCAGATCTTGACGGAGTTCTTCAATAAAGTGAGAGTTCGAGAGATCTGAGACTCATTCATCATTCCTTCGGATTTAAGCTTAGTCTTAAATCTCGAGAAGCGCCGTGATTTTTCTTTGTCAAAATCACCGCTACTGCAATCACTTCCTTCGTGAAGTGAAAGCATTGATTATCCAACTTCTGCTAACCGGATCTGATCCGTAGGCGGTCCACGGATAAACCCCGGCACCGGCAACGATCCCACACAAGCAATAGGCGATAAACATCTATTGCGTGTAGTTTGAGAGAAATTTGTAATTTTTGATTTAAAGTCTTATAAAAAGGCTATTTATTTTCTTGTTCGAGTTTGTTGTAAACGTTCAAAGTTGTAATGGACTCATCAAAGAAATTAATTTTCCGATCAAACACGCTGGCGACCACAGTGGGAGCCGACAACCTTTCGGCAAAGGCTGATGTGTCGCAACCTCGGATTCTCATCCCGGTTGAAGAAGAGGTCGAATATGAGTTCGACCAGCAGAAGTATGAGTAGTATTTGTCCTCCCTCTCTAGTTCCACCTCTCCTCGCAAGTCCAGGAAGGTTCGCTGGTCTTCGGATTTGAAGACCCGAGAAGATCTCCCCGCCACTGCTGCAATCGTGGCTCACAACGTCCTGCCGGCATCCGACGAGGCCGACGCCGCAGATCTGAACTCCTTGAGTGAGGAGTTAACTACTGATAATGTGCCCGTTCTATCAAAGAGAGCACGTCAGAGACGGCGACAACGCCTCACGCTCCAGCTGGCCAAGGCCTTAGAACCAGTTGATGGAATCCGCTATGAAGCGGACCTGAAGTCCAGGAGGCGCCAAGCGCCGCAACAGCGGGTAGCCAACTCCTCTAACTCAACCACGAATGAATAGATCCGCGTCAAAAGGACGTGTTCAACTCTTGAAGAACGGATCCAAAAACACCGCGCGTTACTCGCGCATGCGCGAGCTCTGATGCAAGAAGCACAGAAATTGAAACAAGAAGAAGTGGTCAAGAAGCCACTAAGATCACGCCGAGTCTGAAGGCCAAAGTCCAAACCGGCATAAAAAACAACCCAAACGGTGCCCCAAGGCATCGAAAAACCCAGAAAACCAGTTGCTGGCTCGGTCAGAACCGAGCCACCAAATGGTGGCTCGGCCAAAGCCGAACCACCAAAGGGTGGTTCGGGCAAAAGTCGGAGTGGTTCGGTCCGTTTCGCCGCTGGTTCACTTCCTACAATACCGTCTGAGTTTCCGACAGCCTCTATTACGGTCCCGGCAAATCAATCACCTTCGGTGGAGATCCGTGACAGTGTAGATCTGTCCCATTTTAAGATAACCATCAAAGATCACATTGGCCCATCACACGATAATCGAGGCAAAGCTCCAGTTAAAGAGCGCTCAAGCCCGTTGAACGGATCTCGAGTAGTTTTTCAAGCTGGAGGTCGTGGTCGTCCTCCTAAGCAGTGGAGGAGAACACAGAACGGAAAAAGTCCTATAACTGACCGTATTGGACTGCGTGTCGAAGTCCAGGAGCCTGTTGAAAGCCTACGTTCACGAAAACGTAGCCTCAGACATGCGACTCCTAAAGACGCTAACAAAGCATTGAATTCCCAAAAGAGAACATACTCGTCCGACGAGGACGTTATACCTAGGGAATCGTGCCAACACGCGATGGGTTGCTCCAGTCATCCGACCGATGAGTTGTATGTTGGCCTTCTTGTTTTGATGATGTTTAACAAACAATTTACCACTAATGTTGTTTGTCTAGTATTTATATTTTATTATTTATTATAGACAAACAACGTAGTTGGAGGTTGGATGGATTGCGCCATAACGATTATATCAAATGGAGGTTGGCGGAATGTCGGGTTGAAGCCTTGCAATTCAAAGTTAAAGATCAAGTTCAAGCTTCATCCGCATGTGTACCAAGTTGAGCTACAATGAAGATCAAGACCAAGCTTGGGTAATCTAGTTTAGATTTTATATTATGTGTGTTAAGTACTCTAAGCTCAATATCATATACACACACAATATTGGATTTTCTCACAAAAACGAGCTATTTTGAGAAAACTTTATAATATTATTTTATTGACCATGTTTACTTTATATTCATGTGTTATAATGTTTATGAAGACATTTCATAAAGTTTCAATATGCGTTTAAACTCTTTTTGTCAAAAACATGTTCTTAACAAATTCATATTCATGCATGTTCTTACAAAATAATGAGTTTTCACAATTGAGAAATGAAAATTGAGAAATTTTTTTTCTAACATGTTTGTCTTCATATTTATAAACATTTCGCAAAATTTCATCAAGTTTGGAATTGATTTGTTATGTTTAATGGAATTTACAAAATCATGTTTTTTTGTTCGTGCATGTTCGTGCATGTTTTACAAAACAGATGAGTTTTCATAAATGGGAAGTTATATTCAAGAAATTCTTTCTTTAAAATGTTTAACTACATGTTTATAAACTTTCTTTAAAATTTTACTATTTTTGGAGTTGATTTACTGTGCCCAATTGATTTTACAAAATCGCGTATGTCAGCAGTTTTTCAGAAACTGTAAATCTGTGTTCAAACATTTATATCTCTCAACTGGGAAATGATTTTTCAGAAATTCTTTCTCTAACATGTTAGTCTACATGTCTAAAACCTTTCCACAAAATTTCATATTTTTTGGAGCTGTTTTACTATTTTTAATTGATTTTACAAAGTTGATACACAATGCTACAGTGCCTGCGGTCGACCGCCAAACTCTCTGGACGTTACTCAGCTTTGCATATGGCTCACGGTCGACCGTACCGGTCGACCAAATTTACTGTAACAGCCGACCGTTACACAGTAACGGCTAGTTACTGTTTTTTGTTTTTAATGGTTTTTTGGGGTTTTTGGGGTTGGTTTCTTCAAGCCTATATATACCCCTTTGCCATAACTATTTTCTATCATCTAAGAGAGTTTTTAACCAAATTTAAAAGAGTTTTAACAAGGGTTTTAGTTTGGTTTAAGTATGTTTAAGAAGCTTTTAAGCATTTGGAAGTTTGAGTTTGAGAAATCAATTTCACAAGAGCTTGAGGAGATCATCTATTGGTGTTTGGGCATCCAACTATTCTCCTTCTACCTCTTGATCTATTGAGAAGTTTTCTAACTCTTTTCTCTAGCAATTTTATTATGCTTAATTGAGTTCTCACCTTGTTTTGAGAACAATCATTTGTCATATTTGTGCTTATTGTGAGAATCACTTTGTAATACACTTGTACACCGAGTGAGGAGTGTGTGGTGAGAGTCGGGGATCGTTCCAAGAGGAGTGGCGTCGGTTGACGAACCTAGGGAGAGGTTATAACCGAGCACTTGAGGGAGACAC